CATTTTATATCTGTACACTCAAAATAGTTAGGATAGATATACAGCTCCATTCTCTTAATTCAATGAATAGAGAGGTTTGTTCTAATAGTGTTTGAGACAGGATATCAGGGCTGCATCCTGTACAATGAATAACCACGAAGACAACAATATGCAATGTATTAATTATTGAAAATGTACTAGTAATCGGTTGTGAAACTATCTCATTGCTATTTGTTTCTCAATAAAGATATTTTTTAAAGGTGATTAAAGTATCAAAACCCCCCAAAAAAGCTTTCTTCTTCTGTGAGTCTCTGTAGACAGCTGCATCTCCCTGGCATCTCCCCTACTGCTGCTAGCCCACACCCTTTGGCAACAGCCTCCTAATTGACCTCCCACCTCCAATCTTTTCCAGCTCATTAATCTATCTTCCACATTTTTAGCAACATCATCTTTCTAAAACAGTTCTGCTCATTTATTTCACTCCCCTGCTGAAAACATTTCATCGCCTCATCACCTACACTTCAAACTAAGTTGGGAGTTTAAACAGAAACAGAAGTCCAACTTGTTGGATAGTGACACTGCCTGCTCTTGCTCCCAACCAAGCCCCTATGCAGTCTGGCCTCAGTGAGCTTGCCTTTCCATTCCTAAGGTGCTGTAATTTCACAGCTGTTGTCTCCACTGTCCAGAATATCTGTCCCAAGTTTTCACGAGAATTCTCATCCACCATCAAAGATGCATGCCAAATGGCAGCATTGCTGTGCTCTGCCTCCAATCCACATGGGAAGCCATCCTACCCTTCTTGCCTTAGCTGCACTGTTGGTGCCTTTCTTCTACCACTGGACATTCTAAAGCGTGGAGGCCCACCTGAGCAGCTCTCCTTGAAAAAAGAGCGACTGTCTCCATCTTGACTGAGCCTGACCCTATTTCCTCATATTGTTATGCACAGAGCTGGCTAGGACTTCTGTTTATCCTTCAGTTGGCCTTAAGCAATGTGTATTGGTCTAGCTGAGGTGCTGGTGATAGTCTTTAAAGGTGGCATGCATGTTTTCCTGGCTCCACCAGCTGGGATCGAGCCTTGAGATAGAGGCTATGACTTCCTGGGCCTTGAAAGACTACATCAAAGCTGAAGCACCAGACTTACCAAAACATTATATACTGTATAATGCAGATTACTCTCTCTGCATATCCTCTCTGCATATGGCAGAGGTTAATTTAGGCCACCTACGTAGCTCAGCTCATAGTCTCCTTCCCGCAATTCTTAGTCAATCCTCAAGCCACTCCTCCACTAAATAAAACTGGGTGAGGCCCTGGGTCACTCTCTTGGTTCCAGAAAGCCATCTTCATGGCTAGACTTAGAGCCCCTTGGCTCCCCGATGATTAAAAATATAACTTAGTGTCTTTATTTTCGCCGTGGGTTGCATTGTAAGTGGTAGATTGGAATCAACGTGATGGGATTCCAATAACATAACTTTGGGATTATAAATATTGGCTTCTTGGACCAAGACGAGGGCCTGGAAGTGTTTCCTACACTAACCTGTTTTTTTTTAAATTATCTTTGCAGCTTCAATATATAGATTTATTTTAGCATTTTGTAAGACTGAAATTAATACAAATACTGTAAAGAGTTAAATTGTGGAGTTGTTTGTTTGTTGCTTTGTTTTGTTCAGCTTTTGCAATAGCAAGCTTGGAGCTAGATCCCCAGTCGTTGACGTCGTCTTCTTCTTCTTCTTCTTCTTCTTCTTCTTCTTCTTCTTCTTCTTCTTCTTCTTCACTTTGAACAGAACTTCATAAAGTTAGCTGCACTTGGCTTGAAATTATAATTCCTCCTGCCTCAGCTTCCCAGATTATTGGGATTACAGGAGTGTGCCATACACCAGGCTACTGGCTAATGTTGGTTGTCATCTAGACTGGCTTGGCCAACACCTAGAACATCAGTAAAACACACTCTGGCATAATGGGTAGCTTACAGAGGAGTGACCTTGGGAACTATATCTGGCCCCTGGCCTGTTCTTCCTAGGTTCTTTGCCAGCTTTCTTCTGTGCCTTTTCTCCATGATGTTTTGTCTTGCCATGGGACTAAACACAAGGAAGCCAGCTGAACACAAACTGAAACATCTGTACTCATGAGCCAAGATAAACTACTTCCTCCTTTAATTTGTGTAGGGGAGGCATTTTGTCCCAGCAACAGAAAGGCAATGAGTACAAATACAATGCAATAATTTTGATCAGTTGACTCACCATAAGCCAAAAGGGAGACAGGCAAAGGTGAGAATTTACAGAAAAACTGTTTATTCTAGAATATGAATGTGCTATACAGGTGAAGTATCTCCTATTCAAAGTGGTTAGGACCACAGTATCTCAGACTTCAGAGTTTCCCGCTTTAATAGTTGCATAAACTTCCCTAGTTGAACATCCCTAATCTGGAAATTTAAAATATTAAATATATCTAAATCCAAAACTTTGTAAGCATCTTATAACTGTTCAAGAAGCTTTGGATACATTTTTTATTACATATTTTCAGATGAGGAATCCCCAATTATTGTATTATCAAATATGTTTATCCCAAACTGTTAGACTTATGAAGACCCTTAAATGATTTGGTAGTACATCTAATAGTCTAATCTGACATAAAGTGTCTGAAAACCAAATTACAAGGATCAAGCTAAAATCAAACACAGTGCCTACTAAGTGAATTTGAAGGAAGTATCGATTACTTTTGTGCTGTGCTACTTTTTAACAGAGTTGTACAATTCCAAATAATACTCTTATTAGCAAGAGAACTTGGGGGCCATATACAGTGATTCTATATAATCTGTGAATATGATGGAAAGCAAAAAATTAAGTCCCTAAATTAAATATAT